GGTAAAGTTCTAATCAAAAATCTAGATATTTATTATATACGAAAAGGTTTGTGTTCAGGTTTTTGAGGTTAAATACTTATTTCAACAGAATATTTTATTCATCAAATATTTAATACATGTTCATTCAACCTTGCAGAAACAAATATCATTTTTTAGACTTAAGTTGTTCAACAAAGATTTTTTTCAAATGATAATAGCCTACTTCGAATAAGACAATCTAACTTTGTAGGCGGTGAAAACAAAAGGGAAAGCACAGTTAACTTCTCTTGAAAGAAGAATCTGTGTCTGATCGCCCTAGAAATTGGTAGAGTTTTATTAAAATTCTAAGCCAAACTAAGATTGTTGTTTTGCTTAATTTTAAATTTTGCGTTAGAGTGTTTCTCTTCGAGTTTAAAAGCAACTTCTCAATAGCTAAGTTAGAGGACTTATTTGAAAATAACATCGAACCAAGTTTTATACGTTATAAATACGTAATTAAATCTTCTCATTTTCCTATAATTTGCCGACTCATCTGTATATGAAGTGACGGGAAAATGAAAATTTATAGCTTGAGACAGCTATAAACTACAAATTCAGGGGAAAAAATTTACAAAAAATTGCATCAATGAATTATATGAATTATTGGGAATTTTTTTACTTTTAATATTGCTTTGTTTATAAAACTTCTAAATGAGGTTGAGATAACACTTTGAATTTACTTAAAAATCTGTAAATTTGTGCTTTTGAACTCTCTTTAATTTCACTTTTTATAATGAATGTTAAAATGTAAATTTAATACAAGTAATTGGATATGCTAATTTTTTTCCGGTGGGAATAGGCAATCATCATTTTATTTCAGTGCGCTTTTTATACAACTTTTAAGAGAACGAGAGTAGATTGAAGGTCGTGTATAAGATGTATCACACACATCTGCAGAGCAGAAGTCAGCTTCATGTTAGATAACAAACGGTACTGAAACCACAGACGATAAATCAGCTGAGTCAACATGAAATATACGGCCTCAGTAAATCTCAGTTTATGACGTTAATATTTAAAAGTGCTCCCATTGAACTGCTAAGATAAAACAATATTGAAGTTATGTATATAAACAAGCCTGCGTGTAACTTTCGTCTGAATTTAAATGCTAAGAGGAACTGATCGCATTTCACTTGTTCCGACTATTATTTTTAATTCGGAATTTGAAATTAGGAAGCAAAAAATACTTGTTTTAGTTTCATATATTCTCGCTATTTGCTTCGAATTTTTTTTTTTTTTTAGTGAAATTAAACTCAATAAAATCTCTATTGAGGTTTTCCTAAAGTATTGCACTGTAACCTCGAGGTTAAAAGTAATCTCTCATCATTATTCCTTGAAATCTTTTGTAACATGCAGAGCCCGTGCCTAGATATTTTTCCATCTGAGGGAAACAGTAAATGCTTCTCCCTATATTCAATGAAATAAATTATAGCAATGCACTTTCTCTTTTATATGCAACAAATAACTGTAAAATCGCCGGGAATTGAACCACGAACCTCTGGAATACAGGCCCAGCGTGCAGAACCACTACACCACGAAGGCACGCTAATGTAGGCGGGAGAAATACCTTATAACCTTTTCGACAGATAGCAAATAACTTTGAAATAATACGAATAGTTATACAACTGGTATAAAAAAGCACTGAGTTAATTTTAAAACTTCTTTTGTAAATTCACTTTCATTGCTTTCAACGAAGAATAATCGACAAAATCTTTTAAAATTTATTTCCTTATTTGTTTCATATTCTGCTGAGAGAATAGTCGCATCTGAAAGCTGTTCTTTTATACCAAGGCAAGTTATTATTTTAAGTTTATTAAAGCTCCTTTCATTCTAATAGTAGTAACTGGCAATCTTAAAAATATTCTCAAAATAATTTTCGGATTCGATTAAACTAAGTGGTACATCTGAATTGTCTTAAAAAACCTGACCTTCTTTAGTTACTAGAAGTATTTCAAAATTCTAATGAAACCTCTAGATCATTTAAATCATTTGGATGTTTAAGTGCTATTACTCCATTTAATATACTTGTATCTAATTTTATTAATTTTTGTTCAGATAGAAACTGGAAGACGAATGCTATCTAATTTTACATACCTCAATTTTGATTGTAACATCTACACTTCTTTCATTTTTCCATTATTACCAAAGCATTTCTTTTATCAATTGGTTCTTGATTGTGTAATTTATTTATTAATCTTTCTTTATCACTTCTATTCAGATTCTGCTGATATTCATCTGAATTTTCGCATTTCTCAAGGATACTTTCTCTCATTTTCTGCAAAGTTATACTATGTTTGTGTGTTTGATTCAATGTAACAAAGTATATGAAAGTTATCTCCCTAAAGGGAGGCATGCCTTCCTGAAGACTTCTTAAAAGAAACTATCTCGTATTTACGTTGCACATTGGAAAAATCAGAAAAGCATTTATGCAGCCAAACTATTCAAACTTAAGTAAGTTCCTCTTTATGTAAAATGATAGTTTTGGATTGCAAGGCTTTATTTATATTTTTCGTTTAATGCAATATTAACGTACACAAAGATAACCTGTAAAACGTTTTGATTGTCTCCAAGAGACTATTAATTTAAACCTAGTGTAGTTATTTATCATTTGATGCCTTAAATAAATCTAATGCATTTATATAAATATCAGCAATAACAAATGAACTGAAAATTATAGAAATTGCGTCATAAGAGATATGGCTACCCAATCTGTTTGGGGAATATCGTCGACCAGCTGAGTCCTTTGTGGAGAAGCGTTGTCATCCACTGACAGGAACCTACGACCAAATGCACCCCTGAAAAATCGAAAATAGGGCTCTACTATCTCCTCTCTATATCTCATAACAGTCAAGCCTTCGTTAAACACATGCAAGGGTGCGCGGACATCTAACGTAATGCTTGCCCAAACCGTCACAACTTCGCCACTTTTATAATCGTTTTCCCTGATGAGGGAATGATGGTATAGTATTCCAGGCTTTCTTCAGATACGAATAAGGCCAAGAATAACTGTCCAAGCTGAATCTCGACTCATCTGTAAAGAGTAAAGTGGTCTATTTAAGTCTGGTCGAAGGCGAAGGTTCCCACCATGCTAAACGCGCTGTCTTATGTTATTATTGTATTATGTTGTAGTGAGCGGGACGCAAAAAGCGGGTCTTCTGACGCACGGCCCTATCCCATAAAGCCTTCCAGGAACTTTAGACCATGAAACTCGGTTTCCAATAGGAGCATACAGCTCAAGTGAGAGCTGTGAAGTTTTAGCAGCCCTGAAAGTGCCAAATAGCGATCTTCATACGTTGTTGTGATCTTGGTCGGCCTTGTTCAAGTCTCCTCGATATGGATCCAGGGTCCTGAAACTATTTCCAGAAGTTGCAGACAGCACTGGCTGTTACATTCAGCTCTGTAGATCACCTGCACTTGTGACTTGTGATTAGCCTGCCTCCAGTCTACCGATTCGTTCTTCATCTCTATCCGTCATTCATACGTTCGTGGCTATTAATTTTACCTGATACCTTATAAAATTTACCCAACTATTGCGAGAAACATGGCAAATGTCATGAAAGATTATGTACACACAAATAGCGGAAAACCTTTCTTGCGCTTATATTCCCTCCACAATCACAACTCAGTAGACATAGACGCTTACGTATTCGACTCTGAATATTTGCATAATTCTTCGGCGGCATAATTTGCACCTTTGGTTCAATATGTTTCGTAAAAATAGTCATAATTTGAAAATTCTCTTAATTTTGCACACGACTGTATGTGAGGACATATTTCCAGACAATCCTTACTATCACAATTGATATGAAGGTATTTCAAAAATGTCAATTAGAGAGTTGCTTTACCTTAACTGGTTATTACAAGATTAGTAGGCAATCTTATGGTTAACTCGAATGTTCTAAAGTTTTACTTCAGAAAACGTAGACAAGTATTACGTAAGTTAAACCTTCTTTAATGTAGTTTTAGTTATAACGTTTTGAAATTTCGTCAACGAATTTAAATATCATAACAAAAGCAGTATTAATTTCTCTTAATTCTGTGATTGTTCTAAATGATAAAAGGGACCTATAATGACAAATGCTTTAGCTACAATTATGGAATGGAAAACTAAATTATGATGATTAACCAGATGAATAAGATAAAAATTATGGATAGGCTTTAGAAACGATGGTAACGGAAATGAAAACGAAGGGTAAAAGTATATACTGAACTATTAGTATAGCAATTCTGCACGTTAAAAAAAATGCTTTCATTCATGTTTCAGTGTTTTGCATGTATCCTTTTTTGAAATTGCGGCATTACTGAGGTGAATATCTAGTCAACTGTCTAAGCAGTTCAGAGAACTTGACACCGGAATTCTGAATTTCATAAAAATAATTTTCATTTAATGCATACTTATTCAATGAAATGTCGTTCCTTTTTTTCATTCCTGTTTTCATTTACATGGTTTTAGACTAAACACTAATGGAATTATATTCAAATTGTGTACTGGAAATTTCTCACTATAAGGTTTGTACAAAGAAGGCTCTTATGTAGATTATTCCAAACGCCGGAGTGTATACGAGCCAGTTTCCCTTAGAACGTCCTCCACGAAGGCATCCCTCCCCTTAGGCTGATAACCCTAGTGTGCTTTGCCATAATTAAATACACCACACCAAACGCCGGATATTTCCGGCGATTTCCGGATATATATCAGACTCAAAATGCATTGGTTTTAAGTTCAAACTAGCTGTCTGTTTTTTTACAATTTAATTCTGAAACAATTCCTCAAAGTTTACCTCAACGTTTTAAATTTATGATAGTATAGAGATTAATTTGAGAGAAGTGCTTTTCCTTCTGACAGGAGATCCCTTGCATTCATTCGAAGCGAAAAAATGTCAAAACAAAAGAGTTCTTTATATTGTTATTTTTCCTATGTCGAATATTTAACCTTTTCAACAATTTTCTATTAATTAATCAATGATATTCTTCTTATTTTTCTTCAGATCTCTTTTGCGAACTGCATCCATTGGTACTATTGACAGCGCTGAACTGTGTCCCAATCTGGAAGGGCTGACGAGAAGACAAATCAAAATTTGCATCCGGAACGTGGAAGTAATGGATAGCGTAAGGTTTGGAGCTGAACAGGCAGTCATTGAATGCCAGTGGCAGTTTAAATATCGAAGGTGGAATTGTAGTACCATAAACGGCACACGTCTCTTTGGAAAAACAGTTATGGAAGGTAAAACTTCATATTTCTCAGATCAGGAAATTATTTTTTAAGTCACGCTTTGTGTATTACATATCTATCAGTCAAATGCTAAGGACTGTTTGACTGATTTACATTATCGGTTCTGTAATTAAATGAGCTAAATTGCTATGAATACAGAATACGCTAAAATTTAATGCATAAATAATGAATCGAATGAGGAAAACTACATTCTAGAATTATCAGAATATATTTGCTAAACGTATTTGTTATATTTCTGTTTTGCTTTAATCACTGTAGTAATTAATGCAGAAAACTCTGTAGAAACTAAAACTCAACTTTTGCAACAAAAAGAAAATCAGTTTTTAGTTTTATATGATATTACGTTGCTTTTACTTTTTATCTTTCACTCTACTTGCAATCACTTAGCATATTTGAAATTTCAGTCGATTTCTAATTAATGATTAAAATGTGTTTTACAAAATGTCTAACTCTAATTACCTCTGAATAAAGTTTAATCCTTATAATAGAATTGATAAAAAAAGGAATAGCTGAAAATGTAAAGACATTTTCGTTCACTATCGAACTTTAATTTGCTATATTGATTTAGATGTTACTTCTGTGAGTATTGCTCGAATGATCTTTGTTACTTTTATTATTAGAACTCTTACTTTTTTTAAGATTTTACTTTACATTGTTAATGTGAAAAGATGAGCGAACAGTCCATTTAGGTGGTACCTCCACTATACCAAAATTTATCACTATTTTTCAGAATTTTCTATTTCACTGCTCATATTTCTTATTATTAGAAAGTGGAATTCATTTCCTACGAGAAGTTCCGTACCTGTCCCAACCTAATACATGTATTTATTTATTACTACCCGAAGCGTAACAGAGATTTCGTAACTGATAATGCTATCGCTGTACTTGACAGAAAAAATGTATTGAGCAATCTGTTCAAAACACAAAGTGTAGAAGCATCTATTAATGCTTCGACTTAAATCTGCCAGAATGTTTCCTTTCATAACCTGTTTAGTGACACGTTATAAATTAAAAGCGTAATTGCTACCATTTGTAAGAAGCACTCAAACCAACACCTGCTCACAAAGAGAATCTTTGCGAAGGGAAAACTGGATTTGGCAATTCAGCTTAAGGATTACCTTTGTTCCCCCAAGTAATTTTTAGTCATTCGCTTAAAAACTTCTTGTTGTGAAAATACAAAAAAGAAATGAAGTGAAAAGAAAAAAATCACTTTGAGAAAATCTAATACGCAAAGCCTGGTAATTCTAAAATATGTATTAATTTATTCACGTACATTTTATTCGTTTTTATGGAATAACCTTAATAGCCAAGAAAAAAGGTGTATGTCCTATAGTTATGCTTTCTCAATACCTTAAGCTTTGAGTGAAATGTTTCTTCCTCGAATTAAACTGTAAATAGAATTATACACTGATGGAAAGTTAAATATCAGCACCAAGAACAAATCAGTTTAGGGAAATGAAATGCAGGCTAAACATCTTCTAGGTAACATATTTATTTTTCTAATGTTTCACAGGTTAAGTCACAGGTTAAGGTATGTATGAGAAAAGCCATTTCAGATGTGAAATGGTGGCACATTAATAACCGCTGTAGTCGCCACGATGTTAAATGCAAGCATGCATTTTGTGCATGCATTTGCATTTGTGCAAACGTGCATGCATTTTGTCGTGCCAGGTGCCGTACATCATTTTATGGTGGTGGTGGGGGGGAGTTTCATACCAGCTGTACTTGATTAGTCAAATCAGTAACGATTTATACTGGTTGTGGATGACGCTAGATTTGCCGTCCAGTCTCCCAGACGTGCTCAGTGGGAGAAAAATCTGGTAATCTCGCAGGCTAAGGCAAAGTGTCGATACTCTGTAAAGCACGTTGAGTGATAGAAGCGATTAAGGGTCAGCTTTTACTCTGTTGGATAATGGCCCCTGCTGCAGCATTGCTGAAGGAAGCAGCACAATCACTAGTCTGAGGTATAAATTTTCTTCCAGGGTATGTGGAATAACCGTGACAAAGCTCTTGCTGTCATATAATTTGCTTTCCAGATCATAACTCCTGGTCGTAGGTCGAATGCGTCTGTATCGCAGACGGCTTCCTTCCAAGCATTTACCTGGCCTCCATCTAACCAACATACGGCCGTCATTGACACCAACACAGAAACTGCTGTCATCTGAGAACACAGCAGATCTCTACTCCGTTCTCCAGTGAGCTGTAGCTTGACACAACGGAAGTGTTCTGGCTCCGAGTTGTCCCTCCAGTAAGCTATTTGTTATAGTTCGCTGTGTCACTCTGGTCGCAACAGGTGACAGGTGACAGCAGGGCCGGACACCCGGACGGCTTACAATGACTACTCGGGTGCTGTCCGGACCCTGCAACTATCTGTAGCTGAAACTTTAAATAGACATAAATATAGTAGTTTACAAACCTGATCGTGTAATCGCACAATGCGTCAATGTACATAATGCAACACACTAAGATACTGTAAACTCAAAGATAGACACAATACACCAATACACATAATTATGACACACTAATACGCTATACACCAGTATTCTATACACTAATATACTATACACCAGTATACTATACAATAATTCACTAATATACTATACACTAAAAGATAGACACAATACACCAGTGCGCATAAATGCGACACACTAGTATACATTGACACTAATACATAAGTACCATATACACAAAAATACACATAGGTAAGATAATACAATTATTCTATTATACTACTCTAACATACACGTGGATACATACACTGAGATAGGTAGAAACTTACGCTAAGTTTACAATATATAAAAAGTTAAGTATTGATACACATAGATACTGCGTAAATTCTATATTTTAAAATACACTTTTGTGTAAATATTAATAATACACAGTACTACTACAGGTGTTACTCTGTATGTTGTTAGATCTTGAAACATGACAACATGATGCTAGAATATTTTATAGACCTAATAAACCAATGACACGATGCGTCAGTATACATAAATGTTTCACACTAATATACTATACACTAAAGAGATACAATACATCAATGAGCATAGATGCGACACACTAATATACTATACACGTATATACTACAACACTAATACACGATACACTAAAATATAGGCACAATACACCAATGCACATTAATGCGACACGCTAATATACTTTACACTGATATACATTGACACTGATACGTAAGTACCATGTACACAAAAAATATACACGTGAATTAGATTATACAACTATTCAATTATACTACTGTAACGTACACGTGGATACAATACACTGATAATACGTGAATACAGTACACGTAAATAAGATTAAACAATTATCCTATACTACTGTTACATACACGTGAATGGCAATACACTGAAATATGCAGCACATACCATATGAGAACACTAAATACTACGTGGATTCGACATATATGAAGTGCACATTAATGTGAATATTTAATACATGCCTACTACAGGGGCTGAGCCTCTTAAAAACTTGACAACATGATATTAAAAATTTACACTTTGGCTGGTAGAGATGTACATAAGAAACAGTGTAAGAGAATTCTAGACTGCACTGTACACTTGTCTATGCATTATTCTCTTGGTGCGTGTACGATGGGTAGAGTGCATGCTGAGATACGTTGTAAATGCGTCTGTGGCACGCTGAGCATATATGCTAGCGAGGTACTCACTTTGCCACGTATGTTACAGAAACTGGCATGTGCGGCACTTATGCAGGGCTACAGAGCTCCTGCCCCAGTACTTCTAAGTGATCCATGATCTTTTTGATTTTGAACATAAGTCGGGGTTGTTTCAGCACGAATCTTTTAAAGGCGGCCACTGTTGTAGATGCAGTGCGATGTAGAATGTCAGCTGTAACCTCGATGCGTCACAGACATGCAGCGAATACGGCGGTCTTCTGTTTGGGTGGTGGCGCTGACACGTACGGCCGATTAGCGGCCTTCTTGAGACAGTATCTTCCGGTGATCACTGCTGCCATCACCTATGCACAGTGTATATTATACCCCTGCCAAGTCTTTCTACAGTATCGCGACAAGAAAATCTACCTTCTCATAGCCGTATTCCTTGGCCTCGTTCAAACTCAGTAAGCAGCTAAAACTGGCTGCTTCGTCTCCTTTAAGGCAGTCTTGACTCAAATCTGAGTCACAACGCCCAATCCGAAAAATGAGTAAAGCACACAAAGTTTGCATCTAGTATTTAAAGCAGACGTGATTTTAAGTTTAATGGCACTAAATAGCGAGAAATTTGTAGAAATTTGTATGGATGCCATCAGATATGCAAACACGCCTTCCAAATTTCATTATCACAGCTCTTTATTTATTTATGTTGCGATTTTATTTTACATCGGTGTATTAATATCATTTTCAGTTTCTTTTTTCAATATTGTGGGTGCCTTTGGTAAAGCTGAAAATTTCATATCGGTAACTTGTAGATACATTAGGATTTTGTGGAAGCATGAAAGATGAAAATTAAGCAACGCTTTCGCAGGGAACCGAATTACGGACCTCTGGAATACTCACCCAGCGTGCAGACCACCACACCACGAAGACACGCTAAGAAGGCGGGAGAAATACCTTATAACTTTAGTAAAATTAAATGTTTCTCCGTCTTATAATTGTTCTTTAATTATAAAATACATATAAATTAAGTAAAGAAAAAATGTTTTCTTTACCTTTATAAAAGACAATAAGACCCCACATTTTCTTAAAAATAAATTTGTTGCGTTCTTTATTACACTGAAATAAGTTTATTATGCATGAATGTAACTAGAGGCAGATTTAAAAAGTTCTATAGCCTTAAGGAGAAATGATAAACTATAATTAAGGGATTAAAACAACCAGCTAGACAAACTCTGATTATGAGTTACATTCTCATGAATATTCGAAGTTCAGGTAGAAGGGGAATCTGTTTAAGTATCAGCAATGGAATCAAAATTAAGAGCAGTGAAACGTGTATAATCCGAATAGTATATTTAAC